ATGTAGCTTCCAGGTTGATAAAGCCAATACATAAGCAGCTACGTTTTTTACATCAGTTTTAGGGGTTATTTTGTTTTGTTGGGGGGGGGGTAAGCAACCAAGATGACGACAGTTCAAAGCGAAGCTCTCACCGAGTCTTTCTTTAACACTAGTGATGCCTGTTGTTCTTATCGATACCTGGACCTAAAAAGAGCTCAGACTTCCATCAGAAGGACACAATTGCTCCAGGTGAGGCTTGAACTCACAACCTCGGCATTGCTCTACAGTGTACTGGCTTATAAGTACCGCGCGCTGACCGATTGCGCCACTGGAGCTTGTGTGCTTGTTGTGCTAGTTATGTCAAGACATTCTTACCAGAGGATTCAACACTGGCTATTAGAGACAGTTGCCAACTACAACAACAACAAAAATGCCCATGCACCCATCCTTGTCAGATCAGGTTTTTTTGTTTAGGTTTTTTTTTCTTGCAACCAAGATGACAACAGCAAAAACCAAAGGTCTCACAGGGTCTTTTACACTGATAATGTCACTGGCTTCACTTTTTAAACCCTAAACCAAAAAATAAAAAATAAATAAACATTGGAAAAGCCAATGCAATTTGCCCTCCCTTGTCATATATGTTTTTTAAAACCAAGATTGCAAAAAAATGAAAGCAGTGCCGTCTCAGTATTCCTTCTTTAACAGTGGTGATGCCTAAGTGCAAGTTTAATCTTTTATATAACTCAGCCTTGAAAGGTCTCTGCCCTGGTGTTTCAAGATGAACTGAGGACATCTGCTCCAGATGAGGCTTAAACTCACAACCTCAACATTGATCTGCAGTGTACTGTCTTAGAAATACAACACATTGCCTGATTCCACCACCGTGGGTGGGGGTGCACACATCCAGAGGGTTTATACTGGTAATGTAGAAAAGGTCGTTCTTATCAGTACCTGGACCGAAAACAGTCTCAGAGAAAGCAACCCTTAAGAGAGCAGGTGGGGTGCCGCAGTTGAGGTTTGAATTCCCATCCTCGACATTGCTCTACAATCTACTGTCTTATACGTACTGCATGCTGACTAATTGCACCATTGGCACTTGTGTGCAGCTCATGCTCATCAAGTCAAGACATCCTTACCTCCGGATTCAATGACGATACATTCATGATGCCTAAATGCAAATTTAAACTTTTATATAACTCACTTGTTGTTTTATGTGAAGACAAGTAGTTATTTGATATTTCATTTCTTTTGACCCCCCATGACTAGAGTATTTTAAACACCGTGAAATCTCTTTTTCTTCTTTTAATTTTAATGTGCATGGTTTTGCAATAAAAGGAAAACTGGTATTCGAAACATCAAATTATGTTTGATGTTGGTACTGAACATCAGCTCTGAAGAAGAATAAGGATAACAGCAATTAAACCAAACTCCAATGAGTGCAAATGCCTCTCACAAGTAACTCAAAGATTCTTTTGATGTTTTATAGAGAAAATGGAGCACATAACGAAAGAATACAGACGAGTATAGTTCATTTTCTTATTTTAATAATCTTCAGAATACAAAACTATAAAAATTTAATCCAGCAACATTAACTCTGTTCCTCATATTTTGTCTTTTACTCTTTGCTTTTTAATTTTTTTAATGACATGCATGTATTTGATTTCTTTAATAAATCCAGTTATATTATTAATATTTCAACACAGATAATACAAAGGGAGAAACATAAAATATAAGTATGCATTTAATGTATTTAATGCTACTAGCTTTGTATGTTTGTGATGAATTGTATTCTACAATAACAGCATTGACACCATATTCTCTAAACTGTTGAAAAAAATGACCCATTCTTTTTGTGAAGATGTAATCACTGGCTCGACAACATTATTCTGAGGTTTGAGGTTAAAAGAATATGACTTTTGTCTAGTTGATCATTTACTCTTTGAATTTTAAATTGTGTTTATAGAATATAAGTTTTGATTTGTTTACGTCTTTTCTCTGCTTTAAAATCTATAGTTCTCCTTTACAAAGTTGCAACCAATTTCACAATATACTGTGTTATGGGGGGGGGGAAGGATGGGATGCAGTTTTTCACTGTGATCTCAGGTTTGTGCTGTGTGAGCTTTTGTATGTTAAAGTATTTGGTATTTTGATAATATTGCAAAGCAAGAAAGTCATGCTCTCACATACAGTGAAGACCAATTCTGACCAATCTAATGTGACTTAAATGCATTATCCAACAGACAAAGACACACGTAGACAGTCAGGGACATAGATGTGCACAGCAGATGGAGTGTACTACTTTCTTGCAGCTCTGCTGTTCACTCTTCAGAAATATTTCCATCGGATGGCTGAGAGAATGGCATGGATGAAGTACAGGAGTGTGGCCACGAAGGCGAACACCTAAAACACAAACAAACACAACCAAAGAACATACTTAAAGCCAAGTCCATCCTTTGCATTATTATTGCTGTTTCAGTTTGCTTTTTAATCCAATTTTGGGAAATCCATATTTGCTTTATTGCCAAGAATTACATGGAATTCTAGGTATAAACGCCAGTTAGCTTAGCTTAGCATAATAAGTGAAAGGAAATTCACATGAAGTTTCCACCTCTTTAAGCTAATAATCAGTATGTGTTCGTAAGTACCCTTGGTTCCACCCATACCAACTAGGTCACTGATTAATGTTATTCTGCATGTCCTGTTTGAATTGAGCAGACTCACTGGTTTTGGGAATGAGCAGCAGCCTGGTCCATTTTACTGAAATGTCACTGCAACAACTCAAAATGGAACTTTGTATTTTGTGTGGCCCCCACGTGCAGACGCATTTGCTCAAGATCAGCCTTTTTTCATCTGTGACAAGCACAGTGCACCAGCGGTGGACCTGCCAGTTCTAGTGTTCTATGGCAATTGGCACTCGGGTTCCACGGTGCTGGGTGGACACGGTGTTGTAAAGTCTGTTTCTGATTATTTGGTAAGAGATAGTCACACCGGTGACATGCTGGAGGTTGTTTTTTAGGGCTCTGGTAGTGCTCGTTCCTCCTTGCACAAAGGAGCACAAATGCCAGTCCTGCTGATGGTTTGGGGGCCTTCTACAGCCCTGTCCAGCTCTTCCAGGATAATTGCCTGTCTCCTGGAATTTCCTCCATGCTCTTTGACTGTCTCCCAGACTTTGCTGGAAGACAGTAAACCTCTGATTATGGCATGTATTGATGTGCCATGCTGGAGGAATTGTATAGGTATATTTCCTGAGTATTCAAAAGAAGTCAAAATAATTTTGAATAAGTTGATTAATTAAATATATTAAATAAAAACAAATCTGAACAAATATTTTGGACAGCTCTATTGTATTGAGTTATTGTACTTACCACAGCAGAAATGTAAGTCCGGTAGATTTTAAGGTCACCGCCATCTTTCTTCTCGAGGGTGATGATAGCCAAATCCACCCCTGCACTTAAAAAAAAGAGCGCTGCCAGGCCATGGTAAGCAAAATCCTTCACAAACAGAGATTAAAACATATTTACAACAAGGTCATAACCCATTAATTTTTCTAAATTTTATTGGCTGTCTGACTAAAGCGTCTCTCTTACAGCAGCAGCCCAGTGAGAACTGTTTTTATGACCTCCGGCAGCGAAGATGATCATCCAGAGGAAGGTCATGACGAAGCAGAAAACAGAGACAAACATCACCCACCCCAGAGGGTTCGGTGGGTCCACGTGTGTCGATGCAACTAGAATCCAAACCAAACCACCAAATACCTGCAGAGATGAAGAAGAGAGAGCGTGAATGGAGATGGCACATTGAATTATAACATTTATGAGAACTAATGGGAATCCATCATATTCTTTTACTGGTTTAGAGTTGGACATACTCAGTGAATA